CTGAAGCACATGGCTATTACAACACACTGACATGAAATCAATTACTTTTTCCTCCTCCATCCGAACGATATTCACAAGAAATGTGGAATTAGATTATTACTTAAATAAAAAAAAAAAAAAATATATATATATATATATATATATATATATATATATATAAAAAAATTCACATAAATGCACCGGTGTACATAACATACCTAATCTTAGAAATAAACAGCGTGTTATGAGCAGCAGGTCAGCTGACACGTTTTACTGAAAGCTGCAGCGAAGCCAGATCAAAGCAGGCGACAGCAGACATATCACAGTCACAGCCAGAGCCACAGCCTGATGAAACGCTAATGACCGCTCCGGCCTGCCGCCGTTAGCCCCACCCGTCACATGACCAGGTACCGTCGCCCCGGACGTCCTCAACAAGTCACAGGCACCAGGACCAATCTGTGGCATCATTACCCCACTGTATCTGGTTACACACTGGCGCTCCTGAAATGTAACCCTACATGATGCTGTAGCTGACCTTGGCGCATTACATAAATACTTCTCCCTGCACCAACACCTACAGAGATTTTACTGCTTGGTTATTCCTTTACGTAATTGCCCCTCCTGGTGTTAGTCATGCTTTTGTTTCATTGACTCATTCATTCATTTGAATGCGCTGTTGTTTCTAGTAAAGCACTCTGAACAGTTCAAAAAAAGCTAAATATCTATTTGTCTAGGCACTGAAGCGCTGTGATTATGTTGGAGAAAATCGACTACTGAGATCGCACATCCAAATAAGTGCTTTGGAAAGGGCAAACATTTTAGGTAACGTCACTAAACACAAAGAGAATCATTAAAATGGAGTTCAATTACATGCTATGTGGTTTATTTGAACAAGATCCATCTTTCCTATGTTGCCACCATGCTAAATGTTAGCTCTCTTGCAACAATAAACTGTTCTGTAATCAGCCAGCCAGCTGGGATTGTAGCTCTTTCTCTTTTATTGCTACTGGAAATCCATTTTAGGATATTAAGATCTTACCATGCATAAATTCTACATAATGCCTTACGTTATGCTGTAACTAGAGTCAGAGAAAATTGCATAATTTTCAGCTTGACCAGCTAGTAGCAAACATATTTCAGAGAGAAATTTTGCGGTGAAAGCAGAAAGGTGATAACACTTTTGTGAGGCATTTCGTTTTTTAATGTCAAGTTATGTTAGCATGATATTCACTAACGTTATTGTTTGTTTTTCTACAGCCACAAAATGCATCATGTCTAAGTGTTAAAACATTGCACTGACAACAACAATCTTCATTGTGAAAGCCTGTAACTAAGGGCAGAAGATTCAACAGTAACAATTTTTTCAGTATTAGTGGATTTCAGCTTACAGGAGTAATGCCACCGTTTTGTCCTACATTTTCAACCTTTTTCTGTTATGGAACATGTTGGATTTGGAAATGTTGCTGGCCTACTGGAAATGTCAGATTAAAAGTTCAAATCTATATTCTCTTGTAAAAAAAACAAAACGGGTATGTTTTGTGTGTTCTTTTATGTGAGCGGTACTAATCAGGCAAATTGCTACTATAATCAATAATACAGCAGAATGGATAGAAAACAACAATTACAGAAAAAGTCAATAATTTGATGTAATCTGCTGCACTTCCTTAAACAGAAAACTTTTGACCAACCAATTTGACTATTAAGTTGAACTTGACTGCATTGTTGGATAGCTAAGATCAATTGGATTGGATTTAATTGAGTGTTTTCTAAAGCCTTGAGGTGACTTTAATGTGTTGTGAATTGACACAATATAATATAATATAATATAATATAATATAATATAATATAATATAATATAATATAATATGAACTGAAATGAGTTGAAAATGTAGTATTTTGAACACTGTTCTAATATTTTAGCTTTTATAGAGACTGGTCAAAATAAATGTCAGCCAGTTAAAGGCTTCCTATAACTGGACACTGTAAATCTGAGACAAATGTTAAACTGTGCATGTCTTTATATAACAAAAAACTTTATGAGCAGTCCATGACTCAACAAATCCTAACTTCTTAACTATATGAACGGTCTGCTTCACAGCATAGTGTGGCTGCAGAACCTGATTATATATTTCTGCATATATCTGATCTGTTTTTCTTGTTAAGATGATATTTATTGTTAGTGTTGTGTAAATAAACTGAACTCAACTTTAAGAACTCTTACTAAAGTATATCGTCTCTTACCGTCCGTACACTCTTCATAGTACCAGTCCAGTTCATAGTAGTCAGCCTTGACAAACCTCTGGCCTCTGGTGTGGCCTCGTCTCTTCATCCTCACTGCTCTGTTAGAAAGACGCACCAATGTCCCAGCATGATTAGCCCTAGCATCTTTGGTATGTCCAGCGTTCTGGCATGGCTAAAGGAGTTCAGCTACCACTTAAATGTGTAATTCCAGATAGCGTCTGGGGGTCAGTCAGTCATTTCTGCTCTGCCCATGCTTGGTGGTCAGCAGAGGCCACACAGGTCCTCTTATTCTCATCATATATCCTTTCAGCTTGTCTGTGTATTAAGCTCTATTCATTGGATATCTGGTGTCATTTGAGCATGTCACTCCACAGAGATGTCGCCTGCGTCATCAGCTGGAAGAAGAAAGGAAAAAAAAAAACACTGTTGTGTTTATTTCCATCATCAGAGGGTCTTCTGTGAGTCTCCCCTTGTCCTCTAGTGTGTTGTCTCCTTTTTTCTGATCATCAGTTTCCCTCAGTCACTCCGAAGCTTCAGAGCAAAAGCTATAAATCCCATCGTCTTCAGATCCATTTAAAGCTTCGTGTTGGGTTTGTCTTCTTCTTTTGTCTGATTCCTTGGCGATTCAGTTCCTTTAAAGTCCAATTCTGTCCTTTGTCTTCCCTGATACAATACTACTCACTAACACTGACCCACACATGGAGCTCTGCATCTCCTACAATGACTCAATGAATACACTGACAAGCAGCAGCAGCAGTCACGGGTTTTGCAGCAGAAATGATGCTAACCATGACAAAACTAAAAGGGAGGGCTTTGAGGAAGCTTCTGGCCAATAAAAAGGAAGATTATTTCCCAGCATGCTCCCGCCTACTGCTGCATGTCGGCATTTGTTCCCTCCTCTCCTCTACTTTGTCCTTCTGAAAGGTTGCTATAGTAACAGGCTCCGACTCCAAGGCCTTTCGGCATGGAGAAGCTGCTAGCAGGAAAAGCCGTGTAGCGTTGGCAGTGGTGACGTGGCTGGCCCAAAATGAATGAACATTTCTGTCTTTAAAGGGAATCGGTCACCACCTTGAGAGTGATGAAACAATTTCACCGAACGGAGGCAGGGAACACAATTCTAGACTACGGTGCATAAAAAAATACATAAACCAAATTGTTTTAACTGAGAAACACAAACATGGTGTGAGGTTATATATAGTTTAGCAAATTTTAATGCACTCTAAAGTAAAATGCTTAAACGTCTGAACCAGTGCGTGATTTCAATAGTGTGAAAAACAACAATTATTAAAAGACATGAAACTAGTTTATTACTAATGAGATTAAATAAATATTAGTTAATAGTCTGCTGGAGTCCTGCAGAAGGATAGGAAGAGATTCCTTAAATTATACTAAAAATGCCCACTTTGTATTCGTTTAGTTAATTTATAGGTTAAATTAGCTATAAATTAATTTATAGTTAGTTATATGCAAATATAAACATAACTGTTTAAAACAGGAACTTGTGCTAATTATTTTGGCTGTTCTGAAGTATTACCAGAACTATTGCAAAAATCAAAAACAACACAGCATCCACTTCCAAACAAATGAAACATTTGATACAACCCCTGAATCCATTTCATTAGAAGAAATCAGAATTAAAGTTATTTTTTTTAAAACCTTGTCTTTTTTCAGCATACTGTGCTTCGAAAATATTCAGTTTTGTAGAACATGTCGGCTGATAAGCCACGACGCTTTTCAATGCAAATAAGAACAAAAAAATAAATAAAATAAAATCCAATGGAATCAATTCTACCCAATCAATATAATCTATATAATATAATATAAACAATATAATGTTTGGTTAGACATGTGGGTGGCATGCCATCACAACAGAGCTGATCAGCTGCCTCCATGTCACCATCTCCTCAGACATGACCTTCTCATGTGGCAGGTCACGTCAGCACATGTAGCTGCCAATGCAAAACTTTGAGAACCAGTTCATAAAAGAGTGCTGAACATGTGATTTAAGGTTGGGCCGCAAACTGGATAACTAAATGCTTACATGACGAGGCGTACCACTCTTTATGATATCTGGTTTGATGCTTCTTGCAAGCTACGAAAGCCTCATGGCCCGACAGACACCCATTTGCTCCAGCAGAGCTTATTTATAATGCGCCCTCAGGGTGCCGATACCCAGGCCATCTGTCATTCATAGCAGATCCTAACAGCCAGGAACTGTAATACAGACAGACAAGAGGAAAAAAAAATAGCATGGCAGAAATCCCAAAGAAACCTTGACCTTGTTGTTGTCTATGTCTGCACAAGCCACAGTGACCCAGTAGTCACTGAACACAGAGGTGAAGTCCAAGTTTTCAACTGAGAATTTAAATAGAACATGTAATCTGATTTAAGTAACATTATTTTTACTCCAACCGAGTCACTAGTCAAGCAGACAGCAATTGGAACTAAATAATTAATGGTGAGAAAAAAAAAAAAAAAACAAACAAACTTCTGCTCTCTGGGTTTGCTGCGTGCACCATCGGCACGTGTTTCAGAGAGCCTGCTTGTGTTTATTGGATTCTTAGGTAGCTAAGTGGGTGTGTGCGTTTTCCAGCTGAAATGGTGGCAACGTTGAGGCACTTTGATAAGAGGAAAGCAGACACATGCATAAAACGCAAATTCAGAGCACAACACAAAGCTGAACATTAACCCGAGTGTTGGGAGAAGCAGCCGGTGTTTGTTTTGGTAACCATGTCCACGCTGTAGTGGAAAGATGACCGCCGGAGAGGAATGTCACTAATCTCTCCGACTTAAATCAATAAGAATTTTCTAAGTATGGTTGTTATTATTATTATGATTACAGTGTTCGTTTTTAATTAGATAGAACTGCAAATTAGAGATGAACTTACAAAAGTATTTGAAGGTCTCTTCTATCTGCTCATTGGTAAGGTCAAGGGAAGAGTCGGGGTCCACCAATGGCGTGTGCAGCCAATCATCCTGATCATAACCGAAGATGGTGTCGGCCCTCAGCTTGTAGACAGGCAGCTGCTCCTCCAATAGGCTGACAATCTCGAGCTCTGGCAGGTCAGCACTGTTACACACATCTGCACAAAGAGAAGGACAGGATGGTGTCCAGTCACTGGTCCTTTCTTTGACAACATGTTTTTCGAAACAATCATTAACTTCTGTCAAATGGTGGGTAAGATTAACAAAAAAAAAAAAAAAGCCACGTCTGACCTGTGAACTTCAAACTCCTGGCTGTTACATCCAAGAAAGCCTGTTTTGTTATAGTAAAATAAATTGTCTACTTTTTTTCTCATTACACGCAGTTCAAAAATTAATAACACAGACATGAAGTCAGCTAGAACTGAAGGTGTGTGTTGCCCTCTAGTGGGCGATCAAGGAAAAGGCTGGGCTCTCTAAAAGAAACGAACATCAAATGAAAACTTACTGAGTTGGTTTAGAAACGATATTCAGCATAAAACTCAAATGCAACCTGTTTATGTAACTCCTCAAAACTACATTAGCGAGACAAGGTGTGCTGAATTAATAAAGTAAAACACAAAGTAAAAAAAATCTGATAACTCATGCATTGCTTTTCAATTACAACCACAAGTTTTCTGTTCGTTTACTGGGATTTCACTCTATTAACCAGCATAAAGTGAAGTGGAAAAAAAAAAGATACATAGCTTTAAAATTTGATGACAAGTGAAAATTGTAAAAGTGTGGCTTGCACTTGAATTCAGCCAATTTACTTGGATGCTTCTAAATAAAAACCAGTGCAATCGATTGCCGTCACCACCTGTGGGTAATTTAATCCAACTGTGCTGTGAAGGCTGAAAACGTTTGCTAGAGAACAAACAGCATCTTGAAGACCTGGGTACAAGGCAGACAGGTCAGGGAGAAAGTTGTGGAGAAGTTTGAAGTGTCGTTAAATTCTAAAATAATATTTTAAACCATTATAATTTTATGGAATACTGTTCATTATCTGAAAATTATACCTTGAAACTTTGAAACTGAGTCAAAGAGGGTTAGAGGCTTATGAGCTGCAGAGATTAATATTTCAGCTGACAGGATCCTTTGTCATCCATCCTACAACTCTGGTATTTAGCCATTGTTGCAATATGTTTCCACAAGCAGTGTAAGAGATGCAGCAAGTATCTGGAAGAAGGTGCTCTGACCAGATGAAACCAAAACTGAGAGCTTCGCCCAACACGCAAAACACAACGTCTGACAGAAATCTAACATTGCAAACAACCCTAAATATCTGATACCTATAAAGTCTACACACAAAAAAAATTCATGTTGTAGTTATTTTTTCCTCAAGAAATGTGAAACAGTGAAGCTTGAACTGACCACATTAGAAAAAACACTGAATGAGAATCAACTTAGAGAAAAAAACCCCCAGCTCTTTGTGTTGCTGCTCTGTCGCTCCACTGTCTGTCTATGACTCTCTGACAATGCCGTCTGTTACTGTTTGCTAATCCAAACTGAATGACTGACTGTGCTGAAAAATGCACACACACACACACACACACACACACACACACACACACACACACACACACACACACACACACACACACACACACACACACACACTCGCAGCAGCTGGTGAATCACTCAGCAAGCAGACTCAGTAGTTTTCCTGTGTGTTTTAGTCCACAGGAACATGACCCATATTCATAAAAAATGAAAATATTAATCTGTATTTAATATTTATTTCACCTATAGAATGTAAATGTTCTTTTCAATGTCTGGAAAATAGTGTGGCTTTTATATTTGCTGTATGTAACCTTTTTACACTGTAACATTGAATGTTTTGATAGAATCTGAACTTTAGTATCCATCAAATCTATGGATTTTTGACTTATAGGTACTGGAAAACGATTGCAGCAATTTGGTTGATTTCTACGTATTTTTAGGTAAATCTAAATGTTTTTTTCCCCAAACAAAATTTTAAACATTAAATCCACTGATTATAAGAATAATAATAATAACAAAAACAATTAACTGCATTCTGCTTATTTTTATTTTGCGTTCTTGCTGAAAACTGCAGAAAAGTCATCCTATAAATGAGAATAGAGACGTCTTATTGTTGGAGAAACCTGCACCAGTCAAGCAGCTAGAGAAGGAACTTAATGTAACGCAGAGGTAGAAACTTCAAAATAAGCTCAGCACAAACAGCTGGCGATGTTCAGTCTATCACAATCAATAAATGCTTGGATAGGATCATGAGGATTTCAAGTTCCAGGTCAGTCTTCAAATGTAAATATAGACCAGATGAAAAGAAAAAAAAAAAAAGCACCAGGAACAGGACGACATTGGTTGGATCAAATGCTGGAATACTCTGCCATCACACCGTCAGTCAAAGCAATAAACACATTGGGATGAGTGCAAGTGACAGAATCACGCTGAATTCTGGGGGGGGGCGGACAGGAAACTTTTGAAATTTAAGATCAACCACAGCAGTAGCGGCCTGCTCCTATACTACGATAACGAAGCACCCAACTACCAAGCTGGAGTTGGGTAACAGAAGAGCAGCGAACCCACACATTACAAGCATGTGAACTGGTTTCCAACTGGCCACATGGTACTGGTGTCACATTGCTGAACCACCTGGACGAGAGCGCTGAAGAGTTACTTAATATAAAGAAGACGTTCTGACTCTGAAGTTCAACATGGCCGCCCCCTGTTGACCACCACAGTGGAGAAATGCAACTTGTGGAAAATCTTCAATCGTGCACTCAAACAACATGACATCATCGTGAGCTTTAAATTACAAAGACTGCACAACTACAAGAAACAATTTCCATGACAACTGAAACAGACAGAAACACAGGGGTGATATGTACAGAGTAAAACTCTGCTGAGAATGTTTGTGAAGTTTAAAATAAAACCAGCAGAAAGACCACTGTACTCACTCATGGTGTCTGGAGCCCGACAACCACCTACTCTCCTGTCCTTCAGTCACATTTTCCACTGGTCCAGGAGAGGGACAGAGGGGACAGAGAGAGAGAGGGAGAAAGAGGGAGAGAGAGAGAAAGACAGAGCTGGGAGGGTGAGGCACAGGAAGAGCTAGAGAGCGCCCTGCTAAAGGTTTTCGGACAGCTCTGTGTGAGTGCGAGACAAAAAGAGAGAAAAGAGGGGAGGGACGAAGTGGAGCGGAGAGGGGAGAGACCCGAGCCAAGCTGGTCTGTCATGCCTGACATGCCGATGACGATAACCCCACGGACCGCCCCCCACCCCCCGCTCTCTAGCGCGTTCTTCCTCACCCTTAAAGCCGACAAACCCGGTGTGGGGCACTTCCTAGGAGCGGAGCGAATCACAAACTTTCTCCAAGCCCCCTGATCCTTTGCAAACAGAGGGAGGTATCGGCATGCCCGACCCCGTTCACGACCGTCTGCCTGCATCGGCCTCTGGGTTGGGAACCAGATGTTTGAAATGTGTGGGAGGCGGTGAAATTTAACACTTTAAATATGTCTTTTTTTTCTTCTTTTTTTGTAATCCTCCGTGTGTCGAGAATCAGTCTGAGTCAGCATTTGAGCGGCAGAGCAACAGGTCAGTGGAAAAGATTACAGCAGTAATCGTCAGCCTGGGTAACATGGGCAAAGCCACACCAGAAACTCTGCCAAATCACAGCCTTTTTCTTCATAGAATCCCATAAACACCAGGATTGGGCAGAGCAGAGAGAAGAAAAAACAAAAAACAAAAAAAACTTGATATGAGTTCTAACGCTCTGAAGCTCATGTAGGAGCGCCTCAGAGGGCACAGAAATAATGACAGTCATCAGCAAGGCAAGATTAATGATAATTTTATGTTTTACATAAAAATAATTACCTAAGTAACTTCATATTTTCTAATATAAATACCATTATTCTTTGTAAATATGGCTAAATAATGTTTAAGCTGTCGCAGATTCTCTGCATGCAACATGCCTACACGCAATACTGAGTTGGTCTATCAATGTACCATGATTTAAGTCATTATGAAACTACAACTAAATTGTTAAATTGCCAAAACAGCAGACAACAGCCAGAAACTGGCTTTTCAATGAGATCCTGTAGCTGAGGTATCTGGGGGTCTATGTTTGATATGGACCCAAAGGGGAAAGAAAGAAACAACACTTTTTAATTATTTTGATATTTATTGCAATTATCTTGCATCCGCCAACAATCACCAATTTTCTTACATGTAGCATGTTTTTCTAATAACCTGCAACTCTAAGTCACGCACAGGTAGACTCTGAATAAATGTAACCCTGAATTAGAGGTTTGTGCAAATAAGTCAGGACAATTTGGGAGTATTTCTGCCTGCCTAGACGCAATATCATAGTTCATAAAACAATCACTTCCAAAGTGTGATGAAAGTGTTTTGGATAAAAACAGCTAGTGTCAACTCTTGGCCAAGCTAAAACACAGATGTATGATTAAGGTTTTGCCAATTAAACCGTTTTGATTCCACAGAGACAGGATTCTTGCATAACTCTGTCTGTGTTTCAATCAAGTCCTCTGTCTCCTTTCTTTTTTTCTAAGGGTTCTCCTCTCCTGGTCGTATCCCATAATTTCACTGTGACTCCCCTCATGCCTTACATCACTGCTGGCTGCTAACCACAAACAAATAACCTCATATCCAGGAAGTGCACCATGGCAACAGGCCGTCCTATTCATCACATTGTGTTCATTCATCTTCTGGATTTACTGACTGGGGGAGATTTAGAGGCGACAGGAAATCAAGTGAGAGGGAAAATAAGTAAATAATGTGATGGCGCATTCGGAGGCATCTCAACATTTCATTCGTGAGCTGAACTATAAATTGCAAAACTATTCGGATTGCTTCTTCTACTGCTATCACAACAAACCAGCAGAGGGCAGTACATATCTAGTCTCTAGAGGTTTGGCCTTTGTGAAGGACAATGGGAAAGGCACATGATCCCAGTAAAAGTTTCCACAGCATGTCCCTTATTTCAGCATGTGATTTTGTACAGCAGACAAGTACGTTTTGCAAACCGGCTTGTGCAAACGATGTTGGCACGACTTTAAAAAGAGCCGTGGAAAAATATCGGAGCATCTCCCTCCAGGGCCTACAAAGACATGTGAATGCTTTCTTCACGTTTCAAGGTCACTCAAAAACTACGCTGTTTTACTCAGGACTAACTACCGTAAGATCAAAGCCTGAAATCAACTGCAAATATTTATTGTTGCTGAAGTTTTCTGCAATAAAACTATTAGTGGAAATGTGAGATATATTTTAAAGAACCTTTAGGCTATAAGTGACAAGATATACAAAACCACAATTTAGAATTGCAAAATGAAGAGAACTACAAAAACCTATAACTGATTTACATATGTTTATAGAGGCCAGAGTTGAAATCTGAAACCTATAAAAAAAAAGGATGCATGGATGGTGGGAAAATGTGTTTCACGAATTGTAAAGTTTTCCAGGACCTTGAAAAATAAGTATTTACATAATGGATGCTTGAAATCAGAGCAGCACCTCTGCCATGTTTACTAATGGCAATCTTTGTGAAAGTTTGTGAGTATTAGGATAGAGGGACATTGCTGCTCAAATAATAAAAGGAACTGAGGTCACACACATAGTTAGAAGGGAGGGACTTTTCCTGCTTTTATGAACAAGAAAGAAGAAAGCTCTTAATCACTGCAACACTAAACAAAACTCTGCTGATGGAAGTGAGGCAACTTTTATAACAAGTGGCTTTTGGAATTTTGCTTACTTCAGAAACAATGTCAGCTGTAAGAAAACAACATCGCAGGAGTAGTTAAAGCTGCTAATTAAAATAAAAATAAAAAAAAACAAGTTTACTGTCTCCACTGAGATCAGATTGTCTCTTTCTGAGTGTAATAGCTGAGGTTTGAAAACAAGTAGTGGAAATGGGTTAAAAAAAACAACAAAAAACCCCTGATAAACTACTGGGAGCTCCTCTCTCTTTCACATGCTGATTTGTACACAGAGCCGAGGGCCCCTGAGGCTCCGCTGACAGGATGTGACATTAAAACAGGGCCAGAAACAAACAAACTCTTCCCACTACACATATAGCCTTCAACATGTTCTTTCGCCTGCAGTATTCATCCAACCGTCTGAGACTGAGAGCTTGTAACTCTGCAACTTTTAAAGTGAGACATGTTCTGGTGCACACATCCTAAAACATGTCAACACTGCCAAATGGACTTTTAAAGCCGTGCATACTTGAGAGATGAATTATATATACCTAGCCACAAAGTGCTGCTTCAGCAAAGCCAAATGGACTCACGTAAGCTACTGACTGCAACCTTGGGTTATGATATATGCGTCAACATTACCAGTAATGGTCTCGGCATCTTTGCAGGTGGCTTTGAACTCCTCAAGTGCAGCGGGCACACCGACGTACTCCTCCTCCTCCTCCTCCTCCTCCTCCCACTCTTCCTCACTGGCTAATAGCAGCTCTGGTCCGTGGAGCTCAGGTATGCGTCTGTGATCCGAGGAGTGTTCAGGGGCCGGGGCGGTGGAACAGGAACGGGTGTCGGGAGGCTGAGTCCTCGGGTCCAGCTTGGCGCTGAATGGTCACCAATTTAAAACAGGACTAGCCATGGAGTAAGCTCAGAGCCACAAAAGGTCACACTCGATTTGTCTGGTGCGCATCTTTAGGCCGGAGAGGTAAACGTGATGTCACACTGACTCAGCAGCACAGGTCAGATGACACAGCCGATGAGCCTGGAGTGCTCACTCGCTTTGGAGTAAAAAGAGGACTCACTTCATACCTGGAAGAAAAAGAAGGATGGAAACACAGAGGATAGGAAGAGTTTTTAAAATTTCACATCATTTATGAATCCTGATTTATACAGAAAAAAAAAAACGGAGCGGGAATTTATGCCCAAACTCAGAATTTCTAGTTTGTCTCAGTCAGAAAACATCTGCTATTACTAAAAGCTATAAAGCTGCCAGATCAATCCACTTCATCTGCTCAATACGAGTCTGACAGGACAATTTTCAAAACACTTAAACAAAAAAAAAAGTACATGAATTAACTATTTCAATGCCGTCGTTCCAGTTACAGCCCGTTATACACCAGACATCCTCAAACCATGTTAGCTTAGCGCGTAGCACAAACATTATTCAGCTGTGTTAAGAGCAACAAACCAAAAATTCTCTGTAAAAATGTAGACATTTAATATTTATTTAATTAATAAAGTTTTGCGTCACATGGTAGAAACATTTTCAGTTTAAGTCATTTAAAGTTCCTCAAATTAACTAAAACTGTGCATGTCTGACTAGCTGTTAGCATTCCACCACTGAGGATTTCTTCCCTTTTAGCAAACTCACTACAAAATATGATTGTTCTTCTACACCTTAAAGGAATTGTTGCAGAAAAGTTTCACAAAACATCACTTGAAACAAACTATCCATTTACATAAGCCAGTTGTAAAAGTACTCACTACCGAGAAGCAAGCGAGACTCCCTGTTTTTTTTTCCCCCCATCAAAGCCTTCTTAGACAATGGATAATAATTATTGGCGATGCCGATATGTAGACGTGGACAAAGCTTTTATAGACACACTAATCTGCAACTATCACATGTCACAACATGCTCATTAATACAGATAGGGTGATTGTTACACCCTACCTTTACTTCTGATGTGCAGAATGTCCTGATTAACCTTTCAAAATCATCGTTCTCCAAAAAGGAAAGTTGGCGACCAAGTCAAAAGACAAATTCAAAGTAAAACAGAAATCAAATACCATGCGGTAAGCTGTCATCCTATGCCAAAGAGAAACTGTTTTTATTCATACGAACCATTCAGTACACACACTCACCACCTTTAAAGGCTCACGCTTTCATTATCATTCCCTGCAAGTATTAATCTACAACTATGCTTGGAGGTCTGACAGGTTTTCCCGTTCCACCCTCGTTTCCTCTGAGACATACTGAGTTAGAACATATGGATCATAGTGGAAAGCAGAATCAGGCCATGGTTTCCATTGTCTAGGCACAAACAATATCCAAAAGCCCAAACACAGTTGCTAATGGCAACATGTCATACAAAACACAAGGAAGTTACTAGATTCTTTAGGTCAGAACCCAAAACAGGTTTGTAAGGCAGCGTTTTATAAATCTACAGTTTTCTTTCAGAGTTACTGAACTGTTAAAAGGTAAAGCAAATGAAGGGAAGGGAGTGCCACTGTTATACAGCCCATTTGTGACTGATAGTCTGGCCAAACAACCATCCATTCAACAATACCAGGATCTTAAATGCTGTGAGCATAACATCTCTACAGAACAACATGGTCGGGTGGAGTTTTAAAGGAAACTCCACATTATATTGTGCCAGCGGAGCTGGAGAATACAGGACAAGGTGTTCTTTTTATGTGTAAGAATACAACTTTTAATTAAGTTGTTTTTAGGATATGTCCATAACTGATAAAGTAAAAGGTTTTTTTTTTTTTAGTTTTGCAAAAATCTCTGTTTACAAAGTCAAGTCTATGACCTTTACTTTATAAAGCAGAACAGATCTTATAAGGCATTTTTACCTTTGAATCAAACAGCAATGGGAAAAAAAAGTAAACTTAAAATATGATTGAAAACTTTAGTAAGGTAAAGTGGTGAGTGGTATTAATTTATCCGGTTCTAGCTCTAGTCATTAAATTTCTGATTGTAGCTGAAGACTCTCCACAAGATATTTTGTCCAAGTCGTCTAGAAATGAACACACGCGATTAGTAATGCTTTCTGTTGCTCAGCTTCTCCTTGCTGTAGCTAAAGCCCTAACAATTTGCACAGTCTGACAAACCACAAATATTCATTTTCAGTTCCTTAAAAAAAACTCTAGAAACGTACCGCCCAAACTTTAGCTGGTAACTCTGTTAAACTTATTCTACTCCCTTCTGAACTCATCAGGTTCATCCACCTCTGCGCTCTTTAAGTTTCACAACTTGCACTCTGTCAGACCTTGAGATCAAAAGCCACATGCATACCAAAACCACAAACACGCCAAAAGCAAACCTATTTTCACAACATAAGATCCCATGCCCTGCAAAGAGAGATGTGACGAGGCCCACAGGAAGCACTGTCATGTTGTGCCTCATACAGAAACCTAAGTGAGTTTCAACACACAAATCCTTTTCAATGTGAACTCTGAGCTGCAAGGTCAGCACAACATGCTAGATGAATATCATCAAACAGAGCAAACGCACAGTGATACAGGATTTGTGGAGTGGTGCGATCTGTTATCAGTGTCCCAATGATCAAAGCCTTTAAATGAGAGTTCTAAGTTAATAATATGATGGGTACAGTAGGGAGAATAATGTGAAAAGTACACAACATAAAGTTTCTATAAATACACGGACAACACAATGGTCACAATTTATTATTTGATCATCAGCACGTTCTGTTTGAGCGACATTCCATTGTTTTAAGATTAAAATACCAATAAACTTAACAATCCAGCCGACCGGGGTCTGTGTGAGAACAGACTCTTATCGGTCAAACAATCAGTCAGGCTAAAAGGTTTATACCATTAGCCTTTGTGCTGTTAAGCACCCACCCCCAACAGTCAATACAACAGGCTGTAGCAGCACTCTTTACAACCCCAGAGATCAGACGTGTCCTTGCTCCGGGAGATCTCCAAACTTTCAAAAGCAGATCATGCAACACCGATTAAAGTCCCGAGTGATTATAACAGTTGAAATATGAGCTGGTATGTCGATGAAAAACTTGATCAAGTGGTGTGATGAGAGAGTTGTGTCAACATACTACTAATGATAAAGTGTCACAAAAGTGAAGTCTAAAAACAGGAAACACAGAGCTACGTTAACAAAGGCAACTTTTGGTTGTACTTGTTGTAAGCTGAGAAAAACAGCAGATGTTCTTCTTATGTATCTTTGAGACGGGGGTAATAAAATTTTGCCCCAAGGGCCACTTGCAGCCCTGTGAATGGTGGAATCCTAAAATGGGGCAAATCTGGCCTCTAAGCTGAAGTGACTGATGGAGACTATTTTGTCTTCTGGGGAGAAATTTTCAGGCATCTTCTTTGAAATAAAAAAAAAAAAAAATGCTAGGTACAACAAAAGGCGTTTCTCTTTTATCAACCAGGTTTCTGCATTCATCTTAATTTTGTATTAAATAGAACCACAAATATCCAGCAACGTTTGACTCGACTTTCTCTCAGGTTCCTCAAGAGATTTCAGGCATTCAACTCAGAGGTACACTCTGAGAAAAATACAGTTATTTTACACAGTGTGAACCTGTGATATGAAGGTCAACTCAGGAAGCTCCATATTCACCATTATCCACTTTGTGATCAATGGAGCCAATCGATGTCCCATTGTGTTGTCTGTGACCAGACAAGCTATAACAGAGAGCTGATAATGGCACAGGGGTGAGTGCTATTACGTTTAAATTTTATCTTGTGAATATCAGTGGGTTGGCTGTGAAATCTACAGTTGAGACCAGAAGTTTACATACACCAAATAAAAATGCACAGACACCTCTTTTTCCTCACTGTCTAAAGAAGAAGACCAAATTTCTCTTGCTTTAGGTCAGCTGGAATGACCAAAATTATTTAGAGGGTCTAAATGCCACAATAATGAAAGAAATAATACGCTAGAATACCTCTTCAAAATCTGAAGTTTACAAACAGCATGATTCTCTGCCTTTTCAAAGGAATGAAAGAAATCCCAGAAGATGATGCCGTGGCTTTGGAAACTGCTAAGAGGTCAACTGATACATTTGAGCTAATTGGAGATACACCTGTATTTATGATGCACTTTAAGGGCACACCTGGAACACACTGCATTCCTGTTTGGCACGACGGGAAAGTCAAAAATAATCCGAGGAGAATTGGGGAGCTGCACAAGTCTGGTTCATCCTTGGGAGCAATTTCAGGACGCTTGAAGGTGTGGCGTCCATCTGTTGAAACAATTATATGCATGCGCAGACATGATGGAAATATCCAAACTTTGTGCGTTTTGGTCTTTGACTTTTACACTCCAGAAAACAAGCAAGAGAGCTTATATGAAGATGTTGGCTGGTAAGACAATGTCATTCTTCACAGTGAATGGGAAGAAAGGCCACTACAGCCAGGAAGAAGCCTTTACTCCAAAAGAAACAAGCCAAATTACAGACAAAGACCTTCATTTTTACTTGTTGTATGTAAAAGTTTGCGTTCAACTGATATTGTAGTTCATATTAGAGTTAAAAAACAAAGCAACGAAGGCAGTGAAGACCATCACCATGCATAAGCAAGTACAGCAGTTGGTTGACATGAACACCGAACAGAGACCGGACGAGAGATATTGTTGACAGATTTATTAGGCACGTTTTTGATATGCTTGAAGGCCACCAGTTCATGTTGCACAAAGTTCTTTGCGAACTGAAATGTAGCTAATAAAATATAGGACAATGATAACTCTTTGTTTAACTTGATCAACGCTGATACTGTCCTGTCCTCAAACAGAGTAGTCATCAGATGCGGGAGTATTGCAGAGAAACTCCCAAGAGACAATCCATGTCATTGACAAAAGCTTCGTGCAGTCTGTTTTTGAGAAGTATGCATCATAGCTACTGTGAAGTTTTTCAAATAAATTGTAATCATAATGAGTTGTAGGCTCATGCTTTGCATTGGCTATGCATGCAGTTAAACATTTTTGAGATATCTTCGTTTCACATGAGTGAAAATCCTTCCAGTTCTGGTTCCTTACTGTTTACATCACAGTGCAAAAGGTCTGTGAACATCCCTATTCTCCTGACCTTCAGGAGATAAATATTAATTTGCTTCATCCTCGATTTGAACTGAACAAGAGGCAAAGACAACATGGATTGTGTAACTAGAAAGGTACACATTAGTAGGAGTGGAGCAAAGTCTCTGTGACAGCTGTCTTTCAGAGCTGCCACAGAGTCTCACCACCTTATCAGCCGTTTGAGTGTTATACGTTTCCAGGTGTGAACAGCGGTAGGATTACAAAGAGCAAACACGACTGGATTCTGTGTAGCAAGACAGCCAGACCTGAATATCTCATTCTGTTTAATGCATACCACATCACAGTAGTTTTCATGTCTATGAGTTACTTCTCCATCAAGCAACAAGGCTTCCAGGCAGTTTTCCTCCTCCAAACAAGATAAAAAGAAAGAAAGAAAACATTTATTTTTAAATCACGGTTTTCATAGCCGTCCTGTTTCATTTTAATTCTGCACAATACTCTGTGTAGTTAACATTTTGCAAGACCTTATTGATTCATCAATATCCAGCTTCCATTTGACAGCCTCTAACATGAAGTGATGTTATATTTACCCTGTAGAAGTCTTAGGAGTCCATTAACAGCTCATGTAAACAGCAAATACACACCCTCATACAATATCACTGTCTACACCACTGCAGTGACAGAACGTGTAAAACAAAAATGTAAATGGGACTCGCACAAAAGGCTGCAATTATATACGAGTGTTTTGTCATTATCTAGGACCGCACAATATTAGGATGACACATGATTGCTGCGTAATGGTTTAACTTTATTGCAATGACAACATTGGATGTGATTAACAAATATTTTCCACAATCCTCCCTCTTTTTGTCATCAAGATGTTGCCACCATAAAATATGAATTTATCAGCACTTTATATCACAAGGTTCTTCAACAGAGACCGTGTCCTACAATTTTTAAATATATTCCTGCTGAAAATGGCCAAGCTACTTCCTTAGCACGTCGCTAAATTCTGCGGAAGTCTGGTAATGAAGCATCCGTGGGATTCTGGGGGTGCTTTATCACAGACGCATGTAATAGTTGCAAGGCAGTAGCTCTCCAAGACTGGAGTTGGGGACACCAAATGTATCAAGTGTAAGTATGAAGGCTATAATAATAAAAATAATAACCTTTTTTTTAATCAGATTAAAAAAAAACTCATTGAGATCTAAAATCTCTTCCCCCCGGCCCCCAAGACACTAGCACCGTTTACAAATGTCAACACTCACAAAAGTCCATTTATCAGAAAAGATACACTATTGGCATTCAGGGTGTGAATGCCAATAGTTTAAATCTGAAAGCCAACCAAATACTCTACAAAAGCTTCCTGCGATTCGCCACAGTAGGATGCAACAGTTTACGCTGACATCAATGTGAAAGGAATGTGACGAGCGTCTTTCTTAAGAAAGGGCGGTGATTATTATATTAATCATAGCAATAAACTAACATGTAATTAAGAAGAAATAAAAAAAAAAAAACAACATGTGCTTGTTTTCAGCAGCAGCTGGTGGTTATGAGCTTATAATCCAGAGCTCACAGGGAGTGCTTTGGACAACTACGCATGCATCGGTGTTCGTGTTATCAAGGGCTCCTCTCAACTTCAGGTGACCCGTCTATAGAAAAAAACAGCAGGAAAAAAAAAACATGGCACACAAAGCACTGCGCCCATGTTACAAACTACATAAATGTCTCTCTGCTAAGCTCTGTTTCCTAACACAACGTTGAGAAATGTTCCCAAACAGACCTGCTCTGTGTTAATAAGCTGATTGCGTCAGCGGAGAATGTTTGAATCTTTGTGTGCGCGGTGATGCAAATTACAGACGGAGTGTGGTTGGAGATGAAAGGAACATGAACAAAAAGGAGAAAATCTCGTCTGCCCCTCGTGTCCATTTAGCGACTCTGATGTGTTCGTTCGGCTGCGCTCTCTGAGGCCTCTCAAAAGGTGCATGGCAACAAGCCTTTTGTTTCCCCCCTCAAACACTCAAATTTGGCGAGCTTGTTGCCAGACAAAACATATCTGCCACCATTACTCATAGGGAAACACAGCCTTTACAGGAAGAAAACACAAGAGAAGTAGAAAAAAATAAATAAAAATTAGATAAGGGAAGCTGGACGATGAATTTTAAAATTCACCAAATCACGTGATAAAAAAAAAGGGGGTCAAAATATCCTTTTCCTCAAACTCCTTCACTCATTTCTTGATGAAATGTAACACTTTTTTGGGCACTGCAGGTAATCAAAATGAAAGTGAGGTGTTTTTTCGGAAATAAAAAATGTTCAACTGCTTTAATAGCAACCTGCTTATTAGCTCCAGTAACCGGACCTGTGCTTCAGAAAGGAAGAAGTGATGTTGTAAATAAACAACTGGAGGGAGACAGTGAGGTACTGAGAGATGTGGTGCCTGTGCAAAATGTGCTCACACAAATGAGACCAAAATTAAACTTTTGGGTCGACTTACAACAGCCTACCATTTTCCCCAACCGTTGCTAAAAAGTGGGATTGATTTAGCTCAGGTCATGAACTGCAACACACGTAATTCAGCAGCTTCTAGTTTCTCCTTAAAAGTACAAATCCAATTCTTCATCCGTGTTATTTTTAAGTGGCGTGACACAGTTGTGGCAGGTTTCCATGAAGGAGATGGGGCCTGTCCCTGGGTCCCTCTGTGACAGAGCATGTACAACTCAAACATTTGCCAAAGCACAGAGCGTCGGCTGCGCATGCACTACGATCGATCTCTTCAGAAAGACAAGACCAAACAGATAACAAAATGGAAGAATCAACATGGTCCCTCATTACTATCTACACAATCTACAACGCTTCAGTGAGTGAGCAGAACAGCAGCAGAGCAGTTACAAGCCAACACATGTAAAATGCTGGAATACTGAACCAAATGTGCTGTATTGAAAAGTAGATTAGATGGTCTTCCTCTGAGGTCGTTTGAATCGGACTAACTGATCCTCGTCTTTCTTTCCGTTACGTCTGCTGTAAACATGTTTTAGATAGAGCTTTTCGCAGCAGCATTCTCCCTGGTTGTGGGTGGAGAGTTGCATACTTCAGATATCACACGAATAACCAAAACTTACCGAGCCACATGTCTTTGAATACACAGGGCTTGGCTGTGTGGATGTTTACAATAAAATGGTGACGATGTCCAATAATAACACCCGACCAGTCTGCGTTTTTATCTGACCTTCAGGTTATGCGTTTGGATTCCAGTCCAGGTCGTGTGAACACTCTCTGCAGACACAGAGGAGACTGTGAGCCCTGCTGTGTGTCAGAGTACCGCTGACAGCATGTGAAGCGTCCACAGATCATGTGCCGTTAGTTGGCAAACTAGATGGAACCTTATTTAGCTTCTTAGAATTGGCTGAGAGAGCCACCGCTTCAGCTGTGCAGCCAATAGATGCAACTCCCCCCCCCCAAAAAATAACAATTGACAAAGTTAATCATTTTCAAGGGTTGCATGTAAATCAACTATACCGAATATGCACAGGTTTAGGGTTGTCTTTAAGGTTTGACTTGTTGATGTATTACTCTCAGAACTATAACACGCTAGAAAAAAAGTGCAACTGATATTTTGACAAAGAAATTCAGTTTGCATTTAACATAAAAAAAAGAATAATTTCAGGATGATCCTCCATTTATGCTTCAAAGTATATAAAAAAAATATGCAATCACAATACCTTTGTTGAATATTGCCATGTCATGTCACTACTTGCTATGGACATTTCCAATTCTTTACTAAAATAAATATTCAATATGACCATTTAGGGCACAAAAAGCTCTTCTAATAAGCCAAATGTATTATTGCCAAACAGAATTTCCTTACTTGCCACCTAAACTTAAAGTCCTACAAATATATCCAAACACTACATCACATTTTTCAACCCCAACATCTGTCCTTTCAGGTTCCTTTGGTTTTTGATTGGCTTGCAAATTTAAATTTGAATAAATATCTACTTTTGTTCGTTTTCATTTGCATTGTAAAGACAGATTTAGTTCAGATTTGTGCCATGATCGTTTCATGTCACTTCAGCCAACATAGTCAAAATGTAATAATATAATCTGTCCAGAACTTTACTGAAAGCCCTATTCTTCGACAAAGCCTGGCAACTTGCTCACAGTAATAATCAAAGTGAAATCGTCAGGAAGTCTTCTAAGTGTGAACGGAAGACAAAGGCTAGGCATTAAACCTTTCCTGGAATAAATATAACACTTTTTACGGTTTTACTTGACATCAACATGATTTTCCTTGGCAAAGATCGGGGAAAGAGACAGAATAACATCCTGATTAGAGGTTCGCCGATGAGTTCCTACTTCCTAAACTTTGCATCAACGTACTCATCCTTTAGTTCAACACATAAAACGTTCACATTTACTTTTAAAATCCTACAATAAATAAATAATCAAACAATGAAATACTTCTTACTGCTTTGTGGCGTAAAAGTTCCGAGAAGAGAGAAAATAGCTCCGTTTTATCTTTACCGATGCCTACTGAGCCGTGATGCTCGAGACTGAACTATTATCACAATGAACTAACTGGAACTAAAGTATCACCACTAACACTAATAAATATTAAAAAATGGACGCAAATTCCAATCCAATGTAAGAACGATACATATTTTGTACACTTAGCAGCTTGTTTACAGTTGTTTTATATCAATGACTTATTCAGCATAAGTAAGGAGCCGCTTGTTGAACACGCTGTTTAGAGCCGTGTCAACCACAAGAAACGAAGAGTTAGTTCCTGTTTGAGGATTTTCAAAGTAAACTGCATGCTAAACCATCCAATTTGAATTTTATTCTCTAATCTAATTTGAAAGAGCTTATCTTGGTTTAACAATAACACAGGCAGACAGACAGTTAGACAGACAACGTGGTTGGCATATAAATTTTGCCTTTAAGCCAATTAAAGATAGGCATCATAAGCACAGTGTTTAAAGATTTTTGCATATATTTGCAGTCTAACAGTTTTGTCTAAAACAGACTTTTAGAAATTGTACGAATGATCCTACAGTGAGGTCACACAATCAAAGAGTTTGGTCCAAAATGTTTTCTGTTACTTTCATTACTGCTACTGTTTCTTCAAATATAAAACTACTTCTACAATAGGACATGCAATGTTTTTTGATATAAACCAACTCAAACTCAGGGGAATGTGAGGTCAGGAGGCCAGGATGAACTAAAAATGTAAGTCTTGCATCTGGCATGAGTTTGATTCCCAACAACTGTCCCATAACAGGGCTCTAGCGTCACAAAATCCTTCAAAAAAAAAAGTTGTGATTACAAGTTGAAGAAAATTGTCTAACATATGACAAAGATTTATTTAGTAGTTTTTAAATGACCTGGACTTTTGAATAAACACTTTCATTCTGTGTGTTGTTTATTAAAAAACAACAACAACAACAACAACAACAACAACAACAACAAAACAAAGGCTTGTAATTATGGAAATATTTCAACCAGAATCTGCAATCATATTATATTACCTTATTATATTAAAGAGCCAATGTATTTAGTTTCCGATTTTGGCTTGTGAGTGTTATCTCTGTCTACCATTTACAAAGGTCACAACAAATCCACAGCACTTTGAAAATCATTATTGATTTATTTCATTCTATTTAGTAAAACAAGTCATACTTCAATTAGATTAGGAAACGTTTTAGGCTTTACAGAGGCAAAACACAGTGGCTGCTTTTATTTTGTTGAATAAAATATGCCAACAGGAAACTGCTCCATCTAGTGCCATTGTGTAGCCTTCTGGTCGCTAAGTTTGAATTCTGGAGCGGATCAGGAAGAAGTCTGGTGCCCCCTAGTGGAGGTTGGTAATTACCTTGAGCAAACTTGCTATAACTACAAGCACCCAAGGTGTTTTGTTTCCCTACTAAAGCATAACTTCCTCATGTGTCTTCATGCGTGTATGAATATACTCGAGCACAGATTGCTCCCATAACTTGGTTGTTAGCCAAAATAATTGCCGATGTTGTACGATACATGTCGCCAAAAACAAACAAACAAACAAAAAAAAAAAAAAAAAAAAAAAAAACCCTTAATGGATTCGGTTTGTGGAAAAAACACCAAAACAAACATTTTCTATTATTTTATTCTTCCCCATGCTTCGTCTGTTGTCTGCAGTCTGGTATCCTAGCAACGCAGGAATATTCCAGTTACGCAGGGGGTGTGGAACTAAACCATTAAAGTGCTTTTAATAAAAAGGAGGTTTATCCTGAATCTCATGCCAAACAAAAAGTCCAGACCACGCAAACAGGCTTCTGTATACACGTTTCATAACCATAACAAGCAAAGTGAATCCTAATATTCAGATAAATAATTACAAACCTCCCTCTTCCAGCCGGAAATACGTGGTCCATCAGGCTTCCGCTGACCAACAGCGGGTTGTTGAAGAGGTAAGTTTGAAGGTAGTTGAAAATAATAGACTGCTCCACACTATAGTCTGAAATAATATAGTCACCATTAAATTAGCACAGGGTTAATGCTAATGTATTCGTTTTTTAGTGTTTATCGGGGTTTGTGTCGAGTTCGGTTACCTGCACATTAGGTGTCATAGAAGCTCACCGTTGGTGTTTCACGCAAACAGTTAACGCCTGACAAGAAAACGTCACACAATATTACACGTGAGCTGTGCAGTTTTAGTGAACACACACCTCGGTTGCTTGAAAATATTTAAGCATGCGTTACTGCTGACTGTGTGGAGAAAGTCCACAATGGATCCAAACTTTGGCATCCTATTGTTTTTATATTTGTTTGTCGAATAATAATATCATTTGATGCAAATTTAGCATTAAAATCTGAAAATGTATTGAATTTTATGCTAATAAGGAGTGTTTGACCACTCTGAGAACTGGTAGACCTGATGTAAATTGCTTTCTGCTAAACCATCAGCTTTTAAGAATAGCACAGTATACTTTCTTTTTTCCAGAGGAAATGGAGAACTTCATCCTTTATGAGGAGCTTGGCAAAGACGGCAGCTTTGTCGTCTACAAAGGGAGACGAAAGAGCAATCTCTGCTATGTTGCCATCATCTGCACAGACAAAACCATGAGGCCCGAGATCACAAACCATGTACTTTAACTATGCCTAGTCATGCTTCATTTGTCATTTTTTTCTAATGCTAAATGTATGGTCAGTTTAAATGACACGAAGTACTGCGTTAGTCAGTTATGAATCCCTAAAAGAATATCAATGCACAAAATGTTTTAAGGTTTTGTTGGTGCAAGTTGTATTTCTCTCCTGTAAGGTGCGACTGAGCCAGGATCTGGATCATCCAAATGTTGTACGCTTCTATGAATGGTTTGAGACAAGTAAGCACCTCTGGGTGATAGTGGAGCTTTGTACAGGTGTGTAATTTCTCATTTATTCCCAAATAAATATTGGATTTGCTGAGTATTGGAGATGAGATTAAACAAAAGTATTTTCCTTTCTGTTATACTTACTTTTGCTTTTTAAATGTTAATGTCTACGCTCTTGCCTTCTAGGCGGTTCCCTGGAGTCTGTAGTCGCTCATGATGGAAATCTGTCAGAAGATATTGTGAGGAGATTTGGATGGGACTTGGTCAAAGGATTAAGATACATCCATGAATTGGGAATCATCCTGTCAGACTTCACCCCTGCAAAGGTTAGCATCTGCGATTATTTCGATTATAACATGATACATATTTAAATCGATAATAAATGTTTTTTTTTTTTTTTCTTTAGGTTCTTCTAGATGGTAGCGGCATTTTGAAGTTTAGTAACTTCTGTCTGGCCAAGGCCGAAGGAGAGACCCTGGAGGACATTTTTACAACGCTTTCTGCATCTGAGGAACCAGAAGAAGGAGACAACAAGAACATGAGAGCAAGAGTGCAAGGTCAGAGTTTAACATTAATGTATGACTAATGAAGGACATGTGCTAATATAGACCTTTTAAGATTTTTTTTTTTTAGATCAAGTTGGACTGTACAAACTAGCAGGAACAAAATAATTTGATTCCTGGAAAACAACAGTATTTACAATAATGTGCAACAATCTCGAATCACCTCTGTTTTATGTTTTACATGGGTGTTGTTGATAATGATGACGCCATTTGAGGACACTTTATACTTTGGATTTTGCATGCAGCAAACAACACGATATCAGTTCTTTTTCTAACTGTATCTGCATGATTCTGTTACATATTTCTAGGTTCTTCAACATACAGCGCTCCAGAGGTGGTGCAGGGATCAGAAACCAGTAGGAGCTCTGATCTCTGGGCTCTTGGCTGTATGCTCTACTATATGTACACTGGTACCCACTCACACGTGTTTACAAAGTAACACATCCACATATCGAAAAGTAACAATTAATGAATATGATCTATGTGTGATAAATTTTCTCTTCCGCTGATTTGCTTTGTCTTTTTATTATGTTACAACTTGAAGCTGAACTGAATTTCTGATTCTAATATTTGCTTCGCCGTCAGTATTATTTTACAACCCCGATTCCAAAAGAAATGGGAACATTTTCACATTTTATAAACTTATATTTTGTTCACAATGGAACGCAGTAAATGTATAACATTTTGAAATTAAGAAATTGTACCATTTTCTGAACAGCTGAGGTGATTCAGAAACTAACAGCTGAAGAGATCCTAAAATAGAAAGGGCAGGGGAGACTTAAAAGCTGTTACAGTAAGTGGTACAAATTACAAACAGAAATTTAAAACTTAATTAAAAACATTTCCCCATGCCATCCACCAGTGTGGGGTAAAGTTTAATCAATCAAAGAAGCCATAAACAATCTGTCAGAAACGCTGCCATTTTTAATGGACTGAGGCAAAGTGGGAACTTTACATGTCTGAAAGGTTTAATTCACATTTTAGAACAAAATTCCCCCACTTAATTCATAGCGTCATAGCTTCTGAGTGCTGCACTGGCCTGCCTGAAGTCCAGACCTCTTGACAATAAAAACATCTGGTGCATTATGATGTGAGAGATCCGAGACAGAAGATCCAGGACTGTTGAACAGCTACAACAACTGGTCTCTTTGGTTTCTAGATGTCTGTGGACTGTTGTTTAAAGAAGACGTGCTCCACTGTGGCTAACATGTCCTTGTTCTGCCTTTTGGAGATGTGCTGCTACCATCAGTTTCAGAAGTGGCTTTTATTTTCTAAAAATCTTGCAATTTCTTAAATTATATACTTATGTTTACTGAAACATGTTACTTTGAAATAATATTTGGTTTTATGGGATTTGCAGACCTTTGCACGTGTATTTTTTTTATGCATTTTACATATATTTTACATAATCCTTTTTGGATTTTGGGGTTGTTACTGACTGTACTTGTTTTCCAGGTAAACCCCCTTTCTGCTCTGATAACCACACTGAACTGACAGAGATGATTTTGCATCAGGAACCGCCACCTCTAAGACAGAAAGGTAATATGCTGTGTATCAAACACAAGCTAGCACATGAACCTACAGTTAAGTTAAGCTGCAAAGTTAAGGCTAATATTTATTATGCCCCTTGGCATTATATAGAAATGTTTTATTCAACCAAGAATTGTATTCTTATATGAATTGGGGCAGATGTAAAACTATTTAAAGTGACTATCAATTTTGGAAATAAATAAAATAAAAATCTGTTTTCATTTACATTTTAACAAATGTAAAGGCAGGTCGCAAAGTGCTCTCAATATTGAGGGGGTACATTTTTATTTCTATCACACAAGTCATATCCTTAAAGTTGTTTTGTTGTTGTTGATTTATTTTTGGTGGGGAACTCTCTCTGATTGGAAGGCCTCCATGCTGTCACCAGAACCTTTAGCTCCCTCCAACATATTCAAATCTGGACTCTAACTGGGCCTCTCAAAATTGTTATTACTTTTAGCAAGAAGACACATGTTAGTAAAATTAAAAATATTACTTTAAACCTAACTCTGCCATAGGACTAATTTTGGGCCTAACTGTATATAAAGTATTACATTAACTTATTTAATCTTTTCCAGTGTTTCTCCCAAATCCTCCCAGTCAGGATTTCCAGAGCCTCCTGAAAGGTTTATTAAATAAAAACCCAACCAAGAGGTCAGACCCATTGATTTCCCATTGACGTTATGGTTTTGAAATATGAATTATATGTATCTATATAATTTTAGTAATCAGATGTTTTGTTTTGGATTTTTGCACACAACACACAAGCCCTCATTTCTCAAAATTATTTAAACTTTTTATCTAAACGTAGATCTTTTTCGTCACAAAACTAACGTTTTTTGTCCTTGAGAACATCATGGCTGTAATTTTGTATTTAAATGTCCAATTGTTCAGTGGATTCTGACTGTGGCTACTTCCGTTGAAGTCATTTTGGTTTGCCAGTGTTGAGTTATATGAACTAGTTTCCTTCATCAGGATCACCTGGTCGGAGCTGGTGGATCATCCTTTCTGGACTCAAGTAAAAATGGAAAAAGATGATGGAAAATATGAGGAAGCTGAAGATGTCAATGGGTACAAAAAACAATTCTGTGATGAATTTGTCTCTATTATCACAGGATGTGTAGATATATTTTATCCCCTGTAACATTTCCAATTTTTTTTTTTTTTTTTTTTGCAACATTTTTGTAAAAATGGCGATGCTGTCATTTGTTTGAGAGGCTTTGGTTAAATTATTTGACGCATTTTTATTCCTTTACAGACACAAAAGGACACGCAGCCCTTTTCCTGCAGAACACTCAGTCAGTCAACCCAGCAGCCACTCAGCAATAAGCCAGACAGGTTTCAATGTCTCAAAGAAATCAACATCTTCTCATGCGACAAATGTAGCCGACAGGCCGTGTGACACGGAAGCTGAAAGCCAACAATCTGTCACACATGTGTCTGGTGGAAGGTTAAATTACAAAAACTCAAATAAGGAAGTGAGATGTGGAAAAACAATGGCGGACCAAGTTGAGACGAGAGATCTGTCTCAACCAAAGCAGGGAGATCCACAGCCCACCAAACCATATATGACAGGTAGCAGATTGTGATCGGTTTTAACGGTTTAATGGCGTGGCAGTTCCTTACTTGGACATGAGAAGCTTTGTTCTCTTCAAATACAATGTACAAATGTAGCATGACATCTTTGGCCTTTTACACTAAGCAGTTTGTCATTTCTAAATCAAGATGGTATTTCTGAAAAGAAAAAAAAAAAGAAAAATAAGAAATATGCAATTCTTTAACTCTCAACTTTTTTTTGACTAATTTTTTTGCATAGATGTGTGATGATAAAAATACACATTTGCCCCTTTTTTCAGGTAACATTCTAGAGCTGAAACCAAAGAACGGGCTGGATCAAGACAACACTGATACAATCTTTCTACTTAGGTATTTTTATTTAAAGCATGTGTAGAAATATTTTTTCAAAAGTATTCTACAGTTAAACTTCATCAAAAGTATTTGGGGACATTGATCTGGAAGTAATTGGATTAATTCATTTCTAAAAGCATAACTGTAGCCCGTGTGTTACCTCAGTGGAGTTTCAATATCTATGAACAGTTCAGCTATAAATAAAACGTTTATTTCTTATTTGTCCATTGTTGGTCATGGTTTATTATTTGTGGTTTTTCACAGCAACTCAAGAACCCAATGTAGTATCGCAGACCCATCAAACCACAACTCTGAGCTTGAGGTAATCGTTACTTTACACTGTTAACTTTACTAGGGCATCATTTTAATACGTTTAGGTAAGCAGATGTAGTGGAGACGATTTGACAAAGTGCAAATCAGGCATCAGAATGGGGGAGAAAAAGGATTTAAGTGAATCTTGATTCACTTAATCTAAATAGAGTAGCCTTGGGATGGAACAGGAGACTCCCTCCATGGATGAGCAGGACATTTGTCACAATATGAGCCAAAATGTCAGAATGTTTCTTAACACCTTGCTGATTCTGTACAATAAAGAGTCAAGCAAGTTCTGTAGGTGTTAAGGGGTCAACACAGCAAAGAGGCAGTCATCTGATTTTCTCCCCACTGTTTTCTATTTTAGATTGTCACCGATACTGACATTGCAAGCTGTGTGAAGCGCCTTCTACACACCGAGTTTGACCTGAGTGTCACCCGAATCATCAACAATCCAAAGGTATGGAGATGGAGATGGCTGCATACAGGCTAAATCCTCTAGGATCAAGTATAATTATAATTAGCCTTTCAGATGTTTCTTCCTAATGTGAATGTGAATATTGATAGCACAGTCGCAAGGAAAGGGTGAACAAAGCAACAAAATGTAAGATGGACATAAACTGAAGTTGATGGGTTTTTTTTTTTTTTCCGATAATGACTTCAACAGATACTTAAGATCACTCCTGTTCGATTTGATCCCAAAAACCTCTGTGTACCAGCATATTCAGGTATGTTGTCTTAATCTGCATCAATAAAATTGAATGTATAGCACAAGATTACCTCAAAGTTAAATCTTTTCTCTCTTGTGTAGTGGAGAAGCTGCTTTCTCTGAGTGATGACGAGTGGTCTGGTTTTCTGCTACAACTTCATTCATGCTTTGAAGAAAAGAAGCCGTCCACGCCACTCCCCTCCTCTTCTGCTCTTCCTCAGTCTACAGCTGTTCGATCTAGACTCAACCTGCTGTGCTACCTCTGCTGTATAGCTGGCCACACAGTTATTGCTGATAGGCTGATTAACTCAACACTGGTAGGAAAACATTTACTTCAGCTCCCTTCTTGGAATGTAGCTTGACTGGGTTTATTGGCCATAACTGTGTAGTTTGAAATAGTATCCTGTGTCTCAACATGCAGTAGCATGACAGCGTTAGGACCCTTGCTGTCACCAGTGCTATATATTTTTTGTTCTATATTTTAGAATATCATCAGAAGAATTTCAGAACTTCAATTCTAAAAGGGGAACGTCTTCAAACACAGACGGGTATATTTCACACATTGAATTCTGTAAATTTAGCTAATTATGGCTCACAGATAGTAAAAACAAGAATTCAGTGTCTCAGAAAACTAGAGTGCTATAAATATATATATATATATATATATATATATATATATATATATATATATATATATATATATATATATATATATTTTTTTTTTTTTTCACTTCTTGACTTTTGTCAAAGACTTTTCTTCTTGCAACAAAGGCCGGATTTACAGAGTGCACAAATAGCACTTCTGTGTTTAACTTTATCCACATGAGCTTTTCCAGCCTGTTAGTTACTTCTCCACAGCTTTATCTTTGACCTGTCTGCTGTGCTCTTTGGGCCGCATGGTGCTGTTTGCTCATTAATGTGCTCCAACCTCTGAGACCTTCACAGAAACTCTGCAGTAATTCTGAGATTAAATTGCACAGAGGTGAACTCTATTAGCTGATTTTTATGACTTCTAAATGAAGTTGGTTACTCTGGATTTTATGGATAAGAATAAAGAGACCTGAATACAAAAACAAGCCACAATTTACATTTTTATTGTCAGAAACTTAAAATACTATGTAGCATTTCTCTTGACGTTTTCACATAAAATCATTAGAAAATAAGTTTAAAGGTAGATCCTGACTTGATGTTAAAGAAATTCTCAACTGAAAAATGTTTATTTTGTGTTTGAATTAGAATATGGTGTAGCTAGAACCATGTTTTGGACATTTATTGAGATAAGAACTTTTACCAAAATCCAGTAAAAGTGCCATGCCTGCAGCCGACTCATCCTGGTCTGCAGGATGAGCTTTCATTGTCCTCAGTGCTCACCCTTGATGTATTTTTATAGGATTTAATGCTAAATCCTATAAAATTTGTGGGGTCGAAGAAAGATTTTTTTTTTCAAAAAAGGAAATATATCATCAAAATATTTTAAAAAAGCATTTTAATTGTTTTTCTGAAATTATGCAGCATTAGTTAAGACACAACAACACATTCTGTATATTTGCATAATATACACCTGGTACTGATAGCAATTGATCTTTTTATTTTAGCTGTTAATATGTTGTGGTTCATGTATAGAAACAATTGAGTTTTGAAGAAGTAACAATCCATCTAAATCCCATGTTTTTACACAATTTAATCGTCATCTCTTAATTTAGTTTCCTAAATATGTTTTTTTTTCCTTATCACTTCTGTAATCTCCTTGTGTTTCTTTTTTGTTTGCTTTTTTGGCAGCTTTCTGTATTGACCCAGCAGTTACGGCAAGCTCCAAACTGGGATTTGTAAGTACATCCTATATGTGTATTTTTTTTTTCCAGGAAGAGAAAACATGATAGCTTACAATGAAGGTGCCAATGGAGTAATACAAAAATGTTATAGTTTCACATATATTTTACAGTAAATTCAGAATTTCCTGTGCAATGAAAAGGCTCTGAATTAAAGCATAAGACAAGCCTTTGTGTTTTCCACTTGTCTGTCTTTTTCTTGTGCCATCTCTTCAGTTACAGCTTTACTTTAGGTGTTTTTGTTGGCTAGCCAGATTTATTATTAATTCAGAAATAATTAAGCTAACCTCTTTCAAGGGGATTTAAGTGAATTAAATCATTGTTCTGGTTTTGATTGCAAGCTTCAGGTCTTCTGTTACTTTTAGGAAAGCCCATTTAAGAAATTTACCAACTTAAATTGTGTTACCATGTACTCTGTTCTGATATGCAAACACAATATCTAAAATTAATTTATCACATTTTTATTTTTGAACAATATCTTACAGACGAAGCAAGATCCTCAGAACGATGGGCCTTCTGGCTCTGTACTGTAGTCGTCTTGAAGAGGACTGCCACGTTTCTGAGGTCTGAACATACAAACATGTTACTGACACCCTGAGTGCAGAACTTAATATATTTAAAAACATCCTTTTTACTGTAGTATTATTTCAGACTTAATCTAACCTCATTCTTTAACAAGTTTACTTAGATATTAATTATTGTTATCAAAAGAGACTTCTTAGTAGTAGTCACAGACAGGTCGGTTACTACAAAGTGACCAGGTAAACATTTTCATGTTTGGGTAACATGAATTCATTACATTCTCACATGCTCAAAGATCTAACAGTGACATCAAAGAAGTCAGGAAAATCACAAATGTAATACCAGTTTGGACCATTATGTGGCAGTAAATGCCAGAGGAAATTGTGTTCATGCTGTTCATGTAACATTTAAAATATCTAAAATTGTAGTAAAATTCCCCTTCATTTCTTTGGGCTAACAGAAATCAAAACTTTTAATACAGTTGAGAGAAAATTGAGCCCGGATGAACACGTGAACAGCAACACTTGCTCATTCCATACTCACTTTTTAGATCCAGCGTGGACCAGCTGGGGGCATTACAGCTCTTTGAGACAACTTCCTTCCACATGCAGAAAAAAAATACCAAACTCCTCGACTTTCCATCTCCCTGTTTGTCTCTCATGCATATTTAAACATACATACAAGGCACAACTGGATTTTAAGTTAATGAAAAACCTTAATATTCTGTACTGTTGCTTGCACCAGGGTTATATCTCCTACAAATGCAATTTGTTTTGTTTTGATGAGATTGTACCAATTTGAAACTGCTTGCTTCTAATGGAAAATTACATTAAAAAAAGATATGTTTTTAGAAGCAAAATACAAGTGTATTTTCTTATAATGCGTTTGATGTGATTTTCATTAAAAGCAAGTAAAATATGATGACTTTTTCTATTTTTCTGTTTTAGCTCTTATGGCTTTAGAAGTTCTCAAATAATTTGATAAGATATTTTGCACAGTGAACACACTCTTGCTAAGATAATATTTATTAAATGTACGGCACAAACAGTTTTATCTCTAATCCTGGAGACTTACTGTCCTTCAACTTTTAGGTGCAGCCCTAAAAGCCCTAAAAGGTGCAGGAGTCGTTCATTTGATTCACCTGAATCAAATGAACGACTTCTTCCCAAGATGATGAGGGAATTTGGAGCAGGGATGCATCTAAAAGTTGCGGGTTATCAGCTCTCAAGGGCTGGTCTTGATCACATGCTTTCAAGCCCTCTGATCTGTTGGGGGAATGGATGCGAGATCTCAGCTGGCTTTTCTGTATCCCTCTGGAACGCTTTGAGGGCGTTATAGATTGTTTGGGTGCACTATACCGCCGGTGAATACTACTGCGCTGTGACCCTGCAGCACCTTGGACGTTTTTACAGTCTCCAGTAATATTTAAATCTGTCTGAAAGAAGTACACAACTTGATTGCTCAGAGCAAAGGTTTCACAAAGAAACCTTGCATTGATTTTTAGATCATCAACGTTATTGTCCTCATCTGCAAAGTGATTTTAATGTTGCAGCTTATGTATGCTGGAGCACCCTGTGATATGTAATTTGGTGTTTCTTCTTTGGCTTTGAGCAATACTTATTGTTGTAAGCATCAGAAATGCAGATAAATTGCAGTTGAGAGATCACAACCTTATTACTGCTGAATGCTTTTGTGGTTAAATCAACAAGTTTCCAAAGTGGACTGAAATAACATCTGAGCATAATTACCATTGTAAACGAAACGATATTCACATCAGTTTTATTAATTCACAAGGGCAATTTAGTCAGTTTATGTGGATTTTCTAAAAACAAAAGGTTCATACAGAGCTATCTAAGTAGAAAACTAATTTTGTGTGACCTTTATAATTATAAACCAATTTTCTCTCCTCTTTTGTTTGTTTCCATATATAATTTATGTCTGTGTGATTCCTGATGTCCTCATTATAGCGTTCATACTGCTGCTGCTTATTTGTCTTTGGAATTTAGAAAAAGGCCAGCCTTGGCATATATGTACGTTCAATGCCCTTGGTGTTTAGGACAAATGGTGGAATGTTTTTGTTTTTTGCCTTCGTTACCCGCTTTACCTTCCTGCAGCTACTGTGGATATAACTGAGCGTTGTGCCTGCCTATCTTCCTCTGTCTGTTCGTGACTATGGCCGTGCCTGACCATCTATGGGCTCAGCAGGGGTCCTGTGTGTGTGAGAGTCTTTTATGTGTGTGCACAGGCTGTTTTGAACACTGCCTGTGTGAGCTCTCAGCAGGGGTTTTGTGTATGTAGTTCTGTCTGTTCTTATTGGTGTGTGTTTGTGCCTGCAGATACTGTATTGTTGTGTTTCCTTATATTGCAGGGAACAGATGACCAATCAAACGGAACACACACTTGCATTTTTCTCTTTGAGTGTGTGTCGTCTCAGCAGGGGTTCTCCTGCTGCAATCCTGCTGATTGGTGTGTTGGGGCTGGGCTTAGTTACCATAGTAACTTCAATATACTTTATTCAACCCCTCCATTCCCACCTACACACACACAAATATATACTTTAAACACATACAAACAAAGTACACCTGTCTTTTTTCACTGTCCCCTTTCTGTCTTGTTCTTTTTCTGCTGACAGTGATGTTTATTTTTTTTTTTATTTAAAATGATAAAATTGCTTTAGAAAAAAATACTGACAACTTTTCAGCTGTTAATGTGATGCAGTGTCTTTGAAACCTCACACATTTCCCCCTCACTAAACATCACTCAAAAATGTCTCCCTTTTTTTTAAGCCTACCTGCAGATTAAGAAGCACATCCTTTACTGTGCAGGGTGTTTTACACGATAAGGAGACTAAATGCTCTGAAAAATCTCCCAGCAATCCTTGAGGACAGATTCAGAGGGTACTCGCTGCACAAAACACAAAAAGTAGCAGTATTTGTAACACCCCATCGAGAAAAGTGCAACGGTTTAAACACATTTTTAAAAATTCAATTACAGTAGCACTAATGGGTTTGGTATTTCATAATGTTTTCCACTTTGCATCAGATATTACCCCATATAGTCGTGCATAAAATATAAAAGTAGGTCTTATGTTACCAGTAGAGCGCTTGACGAGACATTCTCAGAATCTGGGTTAATCTATCTATATCATCTTTTTGATGGATACAGTGCTTTATGTACATTTTAACCAGGCATTACCTGCTTGTTTTTCCATTGGATATGCCATTATGTTTTATCTGCCAAAAAACCTTTTAAAATAATGCTCCGTTGTGCAAGCATCATTATTAGGTTATCAGAGTACAACAAATAGAATGAAAATGTTGCAAATTAGGCACATTGGTGGAGAGCTGGGCACTTGAAGATAAGGTTGACTGCACTGCAGCTTTGTTAACCAATCTCTTGGTTCACCTCAATAACTTATTGTCTCTGGAAGTGATGCTGCAGTTTTCTCTTTAAAAGACAAATAATTTACTAGTCCGAACCTCTTATTCTGTGGTGGAAAATCTTTCTCAAATATATAAAATAACTACTTATAAAAGTTGTCCGGACAGAAAAATAGGTTATATTGAGAAATCTGCTTACAAGACGGGCAAAGGGTGAAAAGGGCTTCAGCCTTAGTCACGATAAGCGAACAGCAGAAACGAATTGAGAAACCGGCACAGATCTGGTAAATTCAAACAAATAGAGAAGGAAAGATCAATGTTAAGAAGTTGAGAGGAGGGCAGTTTGACAAAGGGGTCAGGCAGGTCTTGCATCAGATCACAGAATTACCCATTAATGTTAATGTCAGGAAGCAGCCAGGTGTCTCACCATATACTTAAATATCAAGCTGTAAAGACAAGACGCTAGTAATTGTTTTGAGTGATCCAGTTACAAGTCGTGCTAAAAACGGATTTATGTTTCTTTACACACTCTCAGTACCTCGGCTCACATTCAGAGGTCGTCCGGAACACCTGTGCCCACAGTCTTTTTACAGTCTGAATACAGATTTGTCTCAAGCCTTGCTCAATCTGTTACATTTCCTCTTGGGTTTTTTTCTTGCATTGGATTTGTCTTATTGGTCCTTCTCACCTTTCTAATGAGCATTTTCTTAAAATTTCGGAGCTTGAAGACTGCGTTTTTGCCCGTTTCTTTAAAGGTCCACTATTATTCTTCCTCCGTCAAGCTAGGATAAGTCTCTGGGCTATACAAAACATGTTCATTACAATTATTACACAAAGTCATTCTCAGGTATGGAGATTTCACCCGATCAGTTTTGGCTGTTTTGAGCTCATGCAAATAAGCTGCTGCTGGCCAAGACCTCCAAACTCAGTGTCATGTTACGTGTCATCGGCACCTCAGACATGTAAAAATCATGTCTGATTTTTAAAATAAAATTAAAATTAATAAAATTAAGCCACTTTGCTCTGTTCTCCTTGACTGGGAGGAAATGCGTGGACACACGATCTGTATTGTAGTCGACAACAAAACATTTTTGTTTTCCAGCAGCCATTGCAGTGGTAATCCAGCAGAACAAATTTAGCGTTGTCTTGTAATGCAGTGGATAGATCTCCACTTGGGTAGCCAGGGTGAGGGCTTGGCTTGGGGTTGCTAGGTAACAAAATTGTGACGTAACAATTTAGAGGTTTTTGAAACAGGTTGTTTTGCAGACACCAGGAGAACATTTACATATTCCCCAAAACTGCTGAGTGTTTGTTTTTTTCACTTGGATTGTTTCTAGAAGTAGGAGTTACCCAAACAGAAGTAGAAACATGCAAAAAGTGAATTTTGAATATTGTGATTTACAGAACATCTGAGACTTTTAAACAAAATGAGTAACAAAGATCTAAGCATAAATAGTTAAAACGCTATGTTGGGAGGTTTCAAATATATATATATATATATATATATATATATACAGTCTTCTTGTAATGGCATCACCAAGGTTACTTGATAATACCAGGTTGGAACATTGTTTACCACTTTGTGTGTGTTTGTGCTGTTGTTTGTGTGAGGAACGTTTCCTACTGATGCTTAGGTCTTATAAAATTCTGCACCTTTTCTAACGACTGTAATTTATCTTATTGTATTTCTTGACCTATTGTGATTACGCTGCATGCAAACATTTGTTTCTTGTTGCTGTCTTAGTTCAATCACTGTTTCTAGTCCTTCGTATATATCCAGACTTCCTTCATTCTTGTTTTCAAAAGCATAAAAAGCCACTTCATGATACTTAAATTATAAATGTGGTTGTCAGTTTGCATAGATTGGTTTGAGCTTTTTGCTGTATCATAACCTTGAGTATAATACAAACATTTTAAATAATTAATGCCATGATCTGATTGCTTTTTATTACTGCTAGTACTGCTACTCCCTGCTGCTGCTAAAGTAGACGTCTTTAATATTTATTTATATTTCAATCCGTAGTACTAAATTAGTATTGATGTTCCAGAGTGTATTGTGTATAATATTACACCTTTTCTTCATTCTAGTCCGTTCAACGTTACACAAGTATAACAAGCTGATACTATCTTAGCTTAATTAGTCAGCCTGTATTCTTGACAGGGGGTCTAATTAGCCTGTCAAACTAATTAGCCAGCTTGACGGGCTAATTAGCCCATCAAGCTGGCTGAAAATGCCATCTGTAGTCAATGGCCTTTTTTCAGCCAGCTGACTGGCAGCACTCAACAGGTGGGGGAGGGGCATCACTGATGACTAGGCATCTCTAGTCACTCCAGTGCTGTTTTCCCCAGAACATCAATAAGTTAACTTTAAACCATTGGAGCCAAATAATGAACATTTTGGAAATTTGGTTTACCTCCGTATAAGTGTCAGCACAAAAAGGCACCTTAAAAAAAATATAAATAAATTAATACATCTGATAGACACAGCGATAGACACTCGTGGAGAAAAGTCTAGAATTTTTTGGTATTTTGTATTAAAGTGAATTTCTGTTTATATCTAAACCACATCTCACTCTGTTTTTCAGGCTGTGTCAACTCTAACAGACCTGTTGCGGGATAATCTCAGGAACAATAAACTGAAGCAGTTCCTGTTGCCACCACTAGGGGAGTTTCTCTACATGATTTCTTCTGAGGTATAACTTACATGTCACCTCTTCCTATGACTCTCATGTTACTGCTGGTGAAATAGAAATATTCATTTTAGGGGGTTGGATTTGAATGGGACTTGTTGACCGTCACTCAATACATGGATACATGCAAGGCTGCAGACATGAAAGAATATTGGGTCAGCTGTCCCAGACCCTAGAGGAGGGGCACAACTGGGCTCTATAAGCATTAAATTATGACTAAGAATATTGTTTGCTGGAGGAGCAGAGCTTTTTTGAAAAGTGCAAAATGAGTAAATTGCAAAGAAAATAATATATATACAATTAAATAAATAGGGAAATCATTATTTATTTGAATATTTTCATATATTAGTAATTATTTTAAGGCCAGGTACTACAGTTCATTATGATTTCTTTCCACTTTGACATTGTGCACAACTTTGTACTGATATCACAACAAATATTCAAATGTCAGGTTATAGTGGTTCAAAAAGTGAAAGTTCTAGGGATATAAGCACTTTTCTTTTGCAAGACACTGTAAAAGACAAAAAAAAAAATGTTTGAAAAAAGGTTTTTGAGATGAAAATGAAATGGATTACTTTGAGTTAATAAGTTTAAATGAATCATTCACAGCATTCCCTGCATATAAAATAGATCAAAATGCATTCTCATTACCTCAGAGAAAAAGACCAATCTAGGGTAAAATGGATTTAACTGTGAACTCTATCATCAGGTAATGGAGTTTAATTTTGTATGCTGACTAAACTCGATTGAAAAGGAATTGACCCCTTGTCCTCAAACTTACAAGAAAGAGTGAAGAAGACCTCCTTTATTAGGAAAGGTGATGCCAATTTATTTCTGCTTAACCTCAATCTCACCAGGCGAGTCAATTAAGCAAGATTTCTATTTACATGACTGACTGATAACCTTCAAAAATCAATCAGCCTACTTGGTTGCTATGAATACTCTTCCAAAGCTGAGAAAAGAAATTGTAGAGGCTCCATTTGGATCACTTTTAACATCTTCTTTAATAGTTGTTGTTTTTGTTTTAATTTCCTTTCAGTGTGTTGCTCTGATCAGCTGTTCATCACCTTAAAATGTTTCTAATTTAGGGTCAGTCCCAAAATAAATGGAAAAATAAAATCAGAGTACCCTTCATAATCCTTTCCAGCACAGGAATGGAGATTTAAATGTTGCTCACGTTTCAGGGTGATGGAGTACTTGGTTTGAATCTTCAACAACTTTTAGTGTAATGAAATAAATTAAACTTCAGCTTAGTAGTGATGGAGGAACCTTTTCAGTTTATCAAAGATAGTTTTGCACCATGAGATGGATTACTACAACAATTTTTTTCCCCCCCTTACATATTTTGTTCTATTTTTGCTTTTTTGTGTCGCAAATAAGGGTTACAGATTGTCAAATAAATTTTTAGCATTATAAAATGAATATCTGAGTTTGTACAAATGCAGTTTTCAAATAATTTATTCCATTCATTAGGGGAAAAAAACTATCCAAGCTATCTTGACCCTCTGGGGAAAAGTAGTGGGTCCCCCTGATAAATGAAATTAACTGTAGTTACCGGTAATCTACTTTTTTTTTTTTTTTTACTCAATTTCATTAACAAAACCCTGAAGACTGTTTATTAGTCTTCAGATACAATGCACATGATTTAATAATATATAATTAATTAAAAAAAAAAATTAAAAGGTAGAAACACAAAATCACTGCTGTCTGTCTGGAAAGGATTAAAAAGTGCTGTCTAAGACTTTGGTCAAACCAAAATGAGAACCATAATCCCCCACTGGGGAAAACATGCAGCAGTGGTGAGCCTTCCCAGGAGAGACTGGTCAACCAAAATTTCTCCAGGAACACATAAACGGTTCAACCAGGAGGTCATAAAACAACCCTGAACAATATCTAAAGCTCCGCAGGTCTCAGTTGCCTCAGTTGGGGTCAGAGGTTAAGATTTAACAATAAGAAAGAGAGGCTGGCCCTCCATGGGAAATTTCCAAGGTCAAACCACTGCTGACCCAAAAGAACATAAAGGCCCCTCTCACATTTGCCAAAAACATCTAGATGATCCTCAAGACTTTTGGGAAAATATTTTAGAGGCTAAAGTGAGTTCTTATGATCAATGCAAGTGATCGGCTCTACAAGCCACAGGTGAATTTATGCTACATATGTTGCCTGAAAAACCAATGTTTAACCTATGCAGAATGTTCCTTTTAATATTAGCCAAATAAAGTTGTGTGTTTTTCAGTTCTGCAGTTGTCAATGACAACAATTACCCAGCGCCCACAGGTCTGTCTTTTTCCTCAAGGTTAGATGTAGCCTAAAGCGAAGCACAGCAGCAAGGGAACAGAGCACCATTTCAAATAAGTTAGAAACTATATAATAAATGATTAGAAATCTGTGGGCTATGAGACAGTGCTTCTATAAAAGTGAAAAAAAAGATCTATCTTCAGAAAAACCTACATATACTTCTTGTGTACATATTTGCAATGAAAACCAAATGTGAACTAATATTAAATAACTATAATAACCTGTAAATTACTTCTAAATGGGTAGTTGTAAGAGTTTGGGCTTGTAAAATGATGCCTACAAATACCATAGAAAAACTTATTTGAGGAAAAAAATTGCTTAAGTATTTACAAAAAATCAAATAATTGAAGTTTGGTAAAGTGGGAATGAGTATAAAAAGTGCTCAGATTTATTTCACAAAAAAACAATTGGGCTTTGTTCAATTTGTTGATTGCCTTATCTTTTGAGTTGTTGAAAGAAAGAAATCTACAGACAAATGGAAATTTGAAAAAGAGGGTCATTTCATTTTTTTTTTGTTAAATAAGTGCGAAAAAAATTTTAAAATGTAAAATTTAGTATGGGACTCTACATCTCTATATCCCAAGCAAATAATTTACACAATTATTTAAAAAAAAATTAAAGCAAACATTTTGAGTAACCAACATTTGACTAGCCATCCGAGTAAGCCATAGCTATGAAGCATGTTGCTCACAGGGATTATAAACCGTGTAATCAAGATGTCTTGACTCCTCGCGCTCCCTTTCCCCTCCCTGCCTTGGCCTTTTCTTGCCCTTTTCCTCACTCCTCTCTACTTGTATCTCCTTCACTTCATCTATGTGCCTCTCTCTCATTTCCACTCTGCTCCTTTGCTGCCCCCCCCATCCCGAACTGTACACCCTCCCCTCTCACCCGTCCTCCCTGTCTTTTCTATGACTCTCTATCAGGAGGAGAAGAGAGGCTCCCCAGAGGGACTGTGGTTCGTTCCTGCTGCCGCCTACACTGGCTTAATGAGGAGCCTGCGGGAAGGGGTGAGTGTCTCTGTGTATGTCTGCGTGTGCCTGTTTGTGTCTGTGCCTGTGTAGCTGTGACTAAGTCTCACTCTGCGTGAGCCTGTGCGTGTTTGTGTGTGGCAGGGGATCCCTGTGAACAGTAATGATGAGGCAGCTGTGGGGGCCTAAAGCGTTGTTTGCCAGCTGCAAGTCAAGGGCATGCAGAGCAGTCACACACATTCATGCATGCATGCACACTCTTACCTGCATCAAACACAACCCTTTACTGCTCTGCAGCCTGACCTCAGCAGCAATTAGGACCCTCCAGACACACACCTACAGTAGATGGAGCAACAGCACAAATGGAGGAGCCGATATCTGTTTGCTTTCTGCCTCTTTTCAATTTCATCCCATTTTTTTTTATTTACTTCTGCTTTGTTTGCTTTAGTCTGTCCCAGCATGGTAAAATAACATGACATTATTTGGTTTTACCGTAAAAAAAAAATAAATAAAAATATTGCACATTTCTCCATCGACTAATAAAAATGGTTAAATACTTTAACAAATAAGTGGACTGAGTGAGAGACTGTTGATATTAAATCCTGAACCTGTTATTCAGTTTCATCTTCAAATGTTTCAGGTCATTGTACAAAAAGTCAAGCAATGATAACCGAAGTTAAGAATGAAGTTTCCTAATAAGAATTTTATTTATTTGGGAAAATAAACCGACAAACTTGATCCAATGACAAAACATTGTTGCCACCCCCCCTTGCTAACTTATGAACCAAACTTATTCCTCACATCTTTCTTTGTTGTTTAACTTCTCTATCCACACCGTGGCCTGGTTAATGCCAAACCTGTCAGAAATGGCTTAATTAGAACGTGTTTGACATCATGAAGTAGACTAAGGCTACGTTCACACAGCAGGTCTTAAAGCTCAATTCAGATTTCTTTCTGAAATCTGAATACTTTTCTATGGTCGCTCATGATACTAGTTACATGAAACCGCAGTCAGACTGCTACGTGAACAGTTCATGACCCCAAAGCTACCCGCATGCACAGGAGAAGAAAGATGCTGTCACATCTGTTTACAGAAGTAATAATGGCTTGATTTTAAAGTTGTTTAGCAATGGGAGAAAAAAGAAAGCACTGGGGGTGAAAAGATTGAAAAGCGGCCATGAAAAAGTTTGACATGGCAGCAGTGTGAACGTAGCCTAAAGCATCTCAAAAAGGGCATCAGAGCCCCAAAAAGTAATTGCTGTCTACCTGTCCAGAACAGTGACAGTCATTTAAGGATTCAAGGAATTTTTTATTGTCATACCACCTTTGCTTGTTTGTGATACGAAATTTGGACTCAGATTAAAAATTAAATAAATAAATAATTAAACAACTTATAGGATTTTGGAACGCCAATGAACTATAGACAATTAAAATGGACAACATTAAATAAATAAGTATATTATTAAAGCATTAATTAAAAGTACTATGAAATAAATAAATGTTTTATTAAGTATTTAAATGATTTATTTAATAGACAATTTATTAAATGTCATTAAATCATTAAATTGCAAACTGATTATAGCTGATGCCAATAATTAAATATGTATTTAATAATTGTGTGGTTCCTGCAGTGTCACCATGAAATAACTTTATAAAGTAGATGAGAAAGGTTATCATTAATGGATGACCTGTTCACTAGGTCCTGTTAGATTGTATGCATTGGCTGACCAATATCATCGTTGGTGAATGTACACAAGCCAAAGTACTTACAAATGTGGATTATTGATATTCATTTGTTCTGCTGATGACTTCTAGTTATAGTTACTGGACTTATTTCAAAGGGTTGGTATTAATGTTAAAAAAAATCTTATTGTCTAAATTTACAACATAATATTTAAACACATCCCAGATCCGAACGTACCATTGTTAAGATCGAAGTAGATGAAAAGAGTATAATGCGTTGGACTTTGAAGCAGATACAGGAGCAGAAAACCACACCAGGTCCCATTCCTGTTATTATAAAACACAAAACTGGTGCTAAGCAGATTAGAAAATGACCTGGTGTGATGGGCCTTTAATTTCAAATGCTACATTCAGATGGGCCACAATTCTTGCTTAAACAAAAATGCAATTTGGACCAAAATTTCTTGAATGCAAGTAAATAGTTCATTTATAAAGCACCTTTCCCATTCAAAGGCCTGGATCAGCATTTCTTGTATTAGGAGAGCAGACTGCTGTTGGCGGTGTAATGGCGTGGAGTGATTTTCAAGAGCATTGTTTAACTCCACACCCTATCTTGAGTTTTGCTGCTGACCATGTTTACCCCATTAAGATTACATTGTTCATATATTCTAATGTCTGTGGTCACAAGGCTTAAATCATCTCTAGTCTAATGAACCTGGCAATTAGTTCACTGGACTCCGTCTTCCACAGTTACAAGGTCTTGATCCAACAGAGAACCTTTGGGACATGTTGGAAAAGAAGAAAGTATTGTGCGTGTGCAGCTGCCAATTTTGACCAAAATCTCTTGAGGAATGTTTTTATCACCTTGTTGATTCAATTGGCATTGATAATTTAGGGTAAAAGCTGTTCTAACCTAATGCTAGCAGAGTGTGTCTAATAAATGGGCCAGTGAGTGTACATTGTGCATAAAAATGATGTGTTGTAAGCGGTCGGCTTTTACTTATTTCATTAACATAGGATTTTATGTTGGAGGCTAGATAAATAGAGGAGTGCTAGCAGCAAGAAGGAGGGCGTTTGGGGAGAGAGACAGTTAACTTATTTATCATTATTGAACAGTAAGATACGCTGATGGCCACATGTAGCCACAGGGACCCCTCATCGCCAGACTCAACCTTCCTCGATCTGTTTTCATCATTTACCCGCAATCTACCTCTGTTCATGCTGTTTCTGTCTCCGCATCTCTAAATGAAATCTTTCATTTATATTAGAAAACTTTGAATGATTCTCAGACAAGAGGCAAAGTTTTCTGTGTCACCAGTAATTACAAAAACAAGTTGCATTACTGTTTATTTATAAGATGTGTCTCTAGTTTTGAACAAGTTCCAAACCCGGGTTTGATTTGAAGTTTCAGAGAAACCTTCACTTTCTTTCATTTGCTTGATATGTATGGTTATTTTTGGGATAACCCAAGACTATTGTGCATAGAGATGACTATTTCTGTTTTATTATCTGCAAATGTTCTGTTTTTATTTGCCAAAGTCAGTCTGGGCATATTTGTTCCATCACAGAACATTTTGTCTAAAGAACATGGTTTTTGGACCGTCTAAAAACATAACGCATACAGACATGCAGATTCCCATGTCTTGGACTTCAAGAAACATTTTTAAAAAGAGCTGGGACTTTGAAATCAGCTTGTATTATGAAGAAAAACTTGCGGGAGTTGTATGGATTTTCTAAGTCACAAGGAGTCCATTATGGAGATTGACAGGTGAACTGTGAGGCACCCCAATCAGATGATAGCACTAAACCAGAGGTAAACACAGTAGATCGATATCCGTCTTTGTGTTCCACTTAGCCTCATAAGAATGTCCAGGTTTTGAAATTCCTGGTCAGCAGTCAGATTTTATATGTTGTGTTTGGCAGGATCTTCTTTTTTTTCTGTTTTCCTCCAGTTTTCATTTCCCCCCAAGTGAACTAGCTTTAACCTGTGGTTCACACTCACGCAGAGAGCTTTTAGGGTTACTAGGTATGACTGAGATTGATGGATAAGTGTTCCGGGTTATACTCTGTCTCAAGCCCACTGTCAGGGGGAGCTGCTTCCTGTGTCCTGTAAGTCTCTGAAACCGATAGTTAGAGGATGATGGGTATTGAATGTACTAAATCTCTGTTGATCTCACTGACATAAAGAGGTGAACTTCCAAGCTGTCAAAACAAATCTACTGAATATCAGAACAACCGAAGAGAAAGAGAGGAGGAAAACTGCAGGGTTTTTTTTTTTTTGGCCCACTGTTTATTTTGTGCATGGTCAAACATTTGTCACAAAGTAATAGCAGCATATTATGTTACTAATGCATTAGAGTTAACTAAAGACCTAGTTCCTCTTCTCAAACTTTATGGATAAATGCCAATGTTGGCTTGCTTTTCATTTCTTTGGCACATTTAACCTCATTACTGATTGATTAAGACTTTGGGAATGATTTTACACATTCACAATATTTCCGATTTCCGATGAAGGTGACTGAAACAGTGTACATTGCTCTGGACTTGAACCAATGTTTTTCCTGGAAAAATCAATGCCATCAAAGTTGGAGATCCATCTCATTAATTTTTAGGATTTTATCGAAAGCTTGCAGCTTGCCAGCAGTGTAACGGCGACTATCGTCAGTTGCTTATAGTTTATAATGATGTTATTGTATTGTTGCAGCCAGTCCAGTGTTCAAGTATATGAAAACTACCAGGTACTTATCCACTGACTTAACAAATTATTTGGGCAAAATTCTTCCTGAACAGAGAAGACAAGCTGTTTTTCTTAAAAGTTAAAATTTAACTATTAAAATTCATCGCTATTCACACAGTGGCTATTGTGACTGATTGCTGTAGAGTTTAAATGAGAAAAAAAAGTTATTAATTTCTACTCAATTTTAGTTACCTTTCACTTATGAACCATGATTGATGAACATTTAAAAAGAAATAAAGTATTCAAACATGGTCAGTTTGCTTTTTGCTGTCAGTTAAACTAAAAGTTTGTGTTTGTTTTCAGTTTGGTAAACTTCTTACTTCTAAATTTGTCGTAACACATTAAAAGTTCCACCACATATATTATTCACGAACAAATCTGGTGTAACTTCAGCTCTCCCTCTCTCTCTCTCTCCCTCTCTCTCTCTCTCTCTCTCTCTCTCTCTCTCTCTCTCTCTCTCTCAGTTGTGAAAAATGTCTTAGCTGCTTGAAATTACAACTGTGAGAATAGATTTGAGTGAATTAAATAATATTCCTCAAACACAAGACGGAAAAGTTCTGCTATGTCTGTCGCGTTCTCTAAATTAGAATAGCATATTTGTAATCGAATATAGAATACA